CACTGTTTCACTAACTGTGTGATACATCTAATAAACAAACTAATATGGAATAAACTTTCACAAGAATTTAATGAGGTTTATATAAATCTTATTACAACTGCTACTGTCATTAGGAGCAAAACATACATAATTTAATATTGTCACATCTCAAAGATAATATGCACCCTTCAAGTAGACATGCGGTTCCCTGGCTTCAACGCTCGAATTTCAGTTGGTATGTCCGGAGTTCCAATCCCATTCCATCTATTTCAGCCATGGTAACCGAGTAGTATCATCAGCACTCATACAATAAGAAGGGCTCATAGCCTTGAATATTAAGGACCTGTTAAGGAAACTAAGTTCAAAGAAAAGCTCCTCATACTATTGGTACCCAAAGTGTACTATTTTAATCTACAGGCTTGCCAATTTGTGTAGGGATGATTAGATTTTCGTATTAGCAACCATTATGACTGCTTTAGTGACTTTATCATTTGTAAACATATCAGCTGTATAGTAATACAAGCCAAAGCAGCTATCACACTATTTATAAGTCCCATTTTAAGGATACAGAGTGAAAAGGATGAATGAACTAGCCAATTGATTTATTTGTGAAATTTCTTCAACCCGTAATGGACATATAACTGACGAGATCTGCGCTTAGATACAAAAGACTGATCTGAAACACGGATACACAGGGCTCGTTTCGCATATGCTAGTTTACGCCGTCTCTGGCTAAGTAGGCGTGATATCCGGCTATCGACCAAAAGGCGTGTGTACTGCTCAGAAGTTCGCTCCGTCCTGCCTTGTCGCCGTGAGACCTGGCTATTGAGAGTGGAGGACATGAAAAGGCTAGTTGTCTTTGATCGTAGATGCCTGCGTTCTATCTCACGTGTGTATTAGTTGAGCAATATTGAGGTTAGGCATAGGTTGAGTGTTAGGTAGGTAGGTGGGAGGGGAAATCAATCAACGAGGTTGTGAAGTTACATTGATTGAGATGGTTGGAACATGTGTTACCTACACATACCCAGCCATCTTCTCTCTTGATAGCCAATGTTAGTTGACTGACATAGGTCGGTTGAGGCTGGAAAAGAGCCAGTGGTGGTCAAACCAAAACATGACTTTATTAGTCAATGAAATCCACAACAGTTAGTTTAAACCAGCCAGTCACGTAGCAAGGTGTAGACTTCCTGACTGGTTGGTTACGGGGGATGGTAAACACCAATGTTTGGAGACAATTGGTGATATGGCTCAAAATCGTTCTCAATGGCTCGGCGCAGATGCATCCACTCCTTGTGACTTATAATTTCCAATAAAACTACATTATTCCTCGTTATTACTAGTCCTTTTGTCTCACATCTCTATCTACTGTCTCCATTATGCATTTTTTCTACTTTCTAATCTTGCTTTGTGTGCTGTTTGCAGTTTGGTGGCTCAAACAGCTGCACATCGGTGCAAAGTTATATGTCGAAAACAGACAGACAGATCTGCAATTTACCAACTTTCACCACCCAACGCATAGACATGATGTATCAAAGAAAATGTGTACTGCAAGGCAGTTTACTCCAGCCTTCTTTACGGTTGTAACGCTAGCCGCTGAAGCCAAATGATACGAAGAGGTTAGCCGTCTTTAACCATAACAATTTAAGTTCTACCTCTCGTCTTAAATGGTATAATATGGTGATTAATATCAAGATTATATTCGAACGTTAGGTAAGAAGGGGAAACTAATCGATTACGATGTGAAACTGGATCGACTAAAATACCATCGTCTGCCAAACCCCGAAATGTTAGCTGATACACGATACAGTTTCAAAGGAGTTACAGATGACTGAAACATAGTATCAATCCATGAAATATTTGACAGCTGGTTTGAGTCACAACGAGAAGTGTAGACTCCCTGGCTAAGACCCAGAGACGCTGACAACAAGCAATGCAAACCATTGGTGACAGATCGAAATGGTTCTAAATGATCTAAAGGCATTGACACTTTATAGTCTTCCAAGTCCAAAAAGCTTCATTAGATTTCATGTAACCATCCTTCCGCACACTTCTATATAGTGTACTTCATTTGTTTCAACTTTTATTTTTCTTCTCTAACTTTTATGCGTGCCTTATGAAATGTGGCAACTTGATGTGCCAAAAAATGATGCAAACTACGACAGTTCCCAAAGTGAACATGGCCTAATAACATAACTGAATAAATCAATAGATAAGGGTAAAATACTAAGACATTTGACTTTATAGCACACAACGATCTACATTTCAACATTTACATTTCACACCATAGTAAAATTTCATCAAGACACACTGCATACAACTATGTTTCCTGGTAATAACATGAACTAACTCCGCTCAAGGAATAGGCATCACTTCATTAAATTAAATGACACATAACAGTATATATTGGGATAACAAAATAACAGCAGCAATGACCCCTAAAAACCCACCACATATTAACCTTCACATAATACCTCAAAAATCACACAATCCACAACTTAGGAGTATCAATACATGGGTGCATTTTCCAGTCATTACATGTCAGAAGACTAGTCGAAAATATAAACAGACATTAGAATTTAATTGGTGGATGGTAACTAGCTGTGGGAAGCAGTATAAGGATATCGTCCTATCTGGGACTCGGCCTCTAGATGTGCCTGCATTTCCCAGTGTGTGATGACGTTCCTAAAAGATATTCTCCACGAAAACAACAAGTTTCACGGCTCACTACTAGACTCATAACATGACATTGTTACTATTCAAAGACAACGTCAGAATTTACTAGGCGGGTCAGCGAGAAGCAAAGAAGGGCGAGAAAATACATTCAGCAATTTGATAAAACGACTTTCCATAGATCGTTTCTTGACACAAACGAAGGAATCCATAGCAAAACAGAACAAGACTGTCAACCAGTGAAAATGCAGATGCAGAGTCTCAAACATTTGTAGGAGAAATAAAGAGAGAAACCAGTAGTCTCTGCACAACTACCATCTGAATAAAAGGCAGATTCCAATGAGGGAATGAGTCCGAACACCTTGGTGTTTAGCTCGATAGGAGCAACCGCAGTTATCGGTAATTTGACCATCGTTACTTTTGTCCTTAAAATTTTTACATAACTGAATGATGCGACTGGCGAAGTTAACTCTAGCCCTTATAACATTCTAATTATCGTTATTCTTATCACTTATACATGCATATTGACTGAGCAATTACAAAGTGCCACTCAATAACTTTTTCTGTAATATAAATACGACTGTACAGCTTGAAAATGAAGTAGTTGAAAAGAAATTTCTTCGCTGAACAAAAAAAACTGTATTTCCATGAATCCCTATTCAGTGAGTCTAGTCACTAGATTTGTCTAGATCAGTGTCCAGTTGTCATATGAGGAAACGTGTGATTTACTTGAGGGTAACTCCTTAGACTGACTGGAAAGGAAGTTCAACAATAGCGTCCCAGGAGTGCGAAAACACGAGTGACCTTCAGCTGACCAATCATAAAAATGAGGAATGTTTGCTCAAAAATCATGCATATTGACAGAAAAATGCTTGAAAACGCATTAAACAGGTTATCGTTCTATGACATGATTTAAAAATACGTCCTAGTTGTAACGAGGAGTATCAGTTGCTAAGTTAGACTAGTTTCTGTACACGTATTCACCGAGATGACTAAAGATGCCCATGTTTTTGTGAATAGTTTATCTCTCTCACCCTGCTTGCAGTCTTCCCGAAAAGCCCTCGGTTGAATTATTACGGTTTCCAGAAAGAGAATAAACGACTACTTGCCAGGAAAACGTGGGTAATAAAACAAATTAAAATAAATGACAGCAACTATAAATCTAACCCTAATCGTAACCATAAGCTTAATCCGGACCCTAACACTAATCCTAATCATAACCCCTATCCAAACCGTAATTCTAACCCTAATGCTAATTATAACCCTGATCCTAACCGTTACCCCAATACTTACCTTAATCCTAATCCTAACCCTAACGAGCTAGTAACACATTGTCCAAACAGTACTTAAAAACGTGATCTGGGTGAAATTTGCTCCCAAGTTGGTGAATAGCGCTGATATTTCAGCTATGATAATGACAGATGCCGTTAGCTAACGACTAGCATGTGTTTAAGGTCATTGAAGCGTTCACAATCCTGACGCTATTGTTGAACTTCGCCGATTAGGAAATTGTAACGGTAAGCAAAAACACAAACCCTAGACTGCGACAGAGGTATGGCCGCCCAAAGAAACAAACTGGAGAATAACATAAGGCCATGAGGATATAAAACTGACATTAACAGAAAAGACAAGTATGCTCCCATACAAACAAAAAACCGGAAATAGCTTTATCACGAGTGAAGTGAACAAGTAGGGAGAAAAATACACACCATAGATCCACCAACCTTCTATTCAGACGGGAACAATTCTATGTTACAATAAAGGTGTGACACTATTTCAGCCTTGCAGTGAACGCATTCCGCCACCTTATGCCCTATCCATAAACTAGAAACATGGGAAGACGAGACACGTGTACGAAACCAGAAAAGAAATTCCTTGCGAAATTATTCTCAGGACTTAAATGATTTAAGTCAATTCATAGTCTATACTAGTCGACTAGTCTAGGTAACCAATACCAGCACTTGGCGATGATTTGAGGGGTTTAAAGATACAATAATTCCTACTTCTTTCAGTCAAAAAGGCACACGCAACTAGCCGACCTCATGTTTTCTAGGTTAATCGACTCATGGCCTGATGCAAAATCAACAAGATGGCAGTAACTTATGTCCCTGTGTTAGTGTTAAAAATAAGGATCACATAAAGTGCTGTCGTCTTAAGACAAAGTTCTTCTAAAACCAAATAAACCAGTAAAACTAGGCATAGTTGCGATATTTTATATCCATACATCTACCTCCCGTAAAGCATAACGTATTCAAGTGTGAACAAAACGCTATCTATTTACAGAGACAAATGAACATTAAAAAATTGTACTAACTACTCGTAGACGATAGTACCATGCACACTTTACATACCTAAGGGGGAAGCAAAAGCAGTAACGCAGGCTTTGTAAACAGCGCTCTTCATTGACCACCTTGCAGATTATTAGATTCAGATTTATTGGTTGAGGATAGAAGGCTTGGATCCTATGTTAATCCTTTTCTAGCACGTTTCTGTGGTTTTTCAAACCTTTCTTAGATTAATCATTTGGGGTTGCAGGCACCACTTCTTTCGGGGGTTGGTTGCAAGATTTGATGACTCGATCCTATTCGCCAAATGAGTTTGGATACAGTATGCGGAATATTTCAGCGTCGAAATTTATAAAGGCCTTCTGTAGGATTCGTTATATTTCAAAAGCCTTCAAGTCTGCTTCTCTACATTTAACTGAGGCTTTTATTCCGCGCTTCAACACCATTCGCATTTCCTTATAGCCGGTAATCATAATCATTGTGAATCTATCAGTTGTGTAAGTGTTCATGACTATACATTTACTTAGATCGTTTGTTCAGTCGATGGAGGTCCCTGTTAGCAATTTAAGGGCCGTTTGCTTTCTGAAACACAGTGGTTCGATTCTTCGGTCAATCTTATATAGATCAAGCTTCGTCCCCACCGGTGGATAGCAAACAGACATAACCGACTACGGTTAGCGAGGGAGATATCAATGAGTGGCGTAATGTAGTCCCCCACAAAGAGCGAGAAAAGAAAACAATGATGGATACACTGTCCAGGAAAGACGGAAAGGAACTTACTCCGCAGAGCAAGAAGGCTACAGCAATCAAACCTGATCTCTACAAAGTGAAAAAACCATTGCTCTCCAACCCCAAGATCAGGTTTGAGCATAACCTCAACTCGGTCAAGCTTCTCTTAAATAATCTGCCGCCACTAAGTGTCAGGCACACCCATGCAAAACTTATAAAGGATCGGTCGACAGCCTGATTTGACAGTAGATCAGCCGGTACGCCTTCAAAAATTCATACTAAACTCCACTGAAGGGAGGGGTACCTTTCCAAACAACTCCCAAACTCCTAAAGTATCAGTCATTTACGTTCGTGCTGATCTATGCCTAACAGACCGTTTCAAAAGACAATCTTTTGCTCTAGAACTCAGCGAACGACGCCGAAACGGCGAAAACCTTAAGATTAAGGTTTGTATAGCTTTCAAAGCTTGAAGTTTGATTATCCTGAAACCTCTGTGGGCAGGCGGAAGCACCAAACCGAATTGACAGTTTGCTACACTAACGCCTGCAGCCTTTTGGACAAACGGACTGAGCAGGGTAATATGACAGACTCCGGAAGTCCTGATGTAATGATCATCACAGAGGCATTGCTCACACCCGATGCCACTGATTAAGAAGTTAACTTGATGAACTTCGAAGTGCATACCGTGGCCCGACTAAGCCGCAAAGGAGGTGGCATGCGTAGCATCGAAGCACTCGTTCACAAAACTGAGTCGTGCGAACTTATGCGCTCAAGACTTAAATGCATAGGCCGAGATATTGTCCTCACTGCTATATACCGCAGCCCCGGTTGCAGTGCAGGCGACTTCCTGATAGAGAAGGTAGGCTCCTAGTAATCGAAATGTTGTAATCTCGTAGTCGGCGAATTCAACGCCCGTACATTTCACTGGACAAGCATTCCAACGCCACTTTCTAACAAGTTCACAGAAGCAGCGCCATGCACCAAAACCTCAGCTCGATCAGACGTTTGGAAAGCTGGTATAAATATGGTCATCTCAGCAGTCAAGTCGGGGACCTGGTACATCAACACACAGGCCCAAGTAGAAGCCGCATGGAGCTAATTTAAACAACTTTACGCTCAAGTGACTGAACTTCTCATCCCTTAGACTGTTCTAAAGGGCCGGAAACACTGTCCCCTTCATGGATAAACATGGATATTCGTAGGTTACTCAGGTGTAAACACAAATGTTGGAACGTGTTTGCAACACATGAGACTCCTGAGATCATGAAATAATACAACACCGCCAGGAATAAAGCAATTTCAGAAATCAGTCAATCAAAGAAGAAGTTCGAAGCAAATCTGGCTCAAAATGTAGAGGCAGAAGCTAGGACAATGTTCTTGTACATGAACTTGAGGAATAATGCATCCAATGTTCATTATAATGAAGGTTTTTTGTATTTCCCAATGAATGGAAAACAAAACGATATTGTTTTTAATGACGTTTCGCTATTTAATGCTAATAGCTTTCTCAAAGTATTATTAAACCGGAATTTACAAAATCTCAGCATATATATATATATATATATAGTCTGGGGTCATTTTTGGTTGCAAAGACTAACGAACAATGATCAGGTTAGTAAACTTTGTTTTGATATAATAACAGATATAATATTACATTTGGTATTTAGTTTTAGTTATCTTCATTGTTATTTTGACTTTCAAAATGTCTTCTTAAGTTGAACTAAGTCTATTTTTTCTCACCCCCTAACTCTCTGTTATATATATGCTGAGATTTTGTAAATTCCGGTTTAATAATACTTTGAGAAAGCTATTAGCATTAAATAGCGAAACGTCAGTAAAAACAATCTCGTTTTGTTTTTTCATTCATTGGGAAATACAAAAAACCTTTATCGTAATGAATGTCATATACCCAATGCCCAAATTTTTTCAAACCGTTAAAAGTGAACTTGGTTCGGACATATATAGCATCCAATTTTGTTCCAATCGTGACTATAGACAATGACACAAGCGGAGAAGTTCAGGGAAGAGCAGAAGCAATAGCGGTCTACTTCTCCCAGTTCTTTACACAGGAGTTGTCACTCCATGTTGGATCAGCTCTGGATGCATCACAGGAACACAAGGTAGATTCCGTTGACGTCGACCGATACGTCGCGCTCAACTGCCTGGTTAAACTAGATGCAGGAAAATCAAAGGGTCCTAATAATTTCAGTCGAAGACTCCTTAAGGAGCTATTAGCCTATACAAATGGTCGACTGATCACGATCTACAAGCCATCTCTCCTGCATGGAGTGTTACCGCGTGACTAGAAAGACGCCGAAGTAACCCTCATCCACCCAGAAGAAGTGGTGCCTGCAACCCCAAATGATTAATCTAAGAAAGGTTTGAAAAACCACAGAAACGTGCTAGAAAAGGATTAACATAGGATCCAAGCCTTCTATCCTCAACCAATAAATCTGAATCTAATAATCTGCAAGGTGGTCAATGAAGAGCGCTGTTTACAAAGCCTGCGTTACTGCTTTTGCTTCCCCCTTAGGTATGTAAAGTGTGCATGGTACTATCGTCTACGAGTAGTTAGTACAATTTTTTAATGTTCATTTGTCTCTGTAAATAGATAGCGTTTTGTTCACACTTGAATACGTTATGCTTTACGGGAGGTAGATGTATGGATATAAAATATCGCAACTATGCCTAGTTTTACTGGTTTATTTGGTTTTAGAAGAACTTTGTCTTAAGACGACAGCACTTTATGTGATCCTTATTTTTAACACTAACACAGGGACATAAGTTACTGCCATCTTGTTGATTTTGCATCAGGCCATGAGTCGATTAACCTAGAAAACATGAGGTCGGCTAGTTGCGTGTGCCTTTTTGACTGAAAGAAGTAGGAATTATTGTATCTTTAAACCCCTCAAATCATCGCCAAGTGCTGGTATTGGTTACCTAGACTAGTCGACTAGTATAGACTATGAATTGACTTAAATCATTTAAGTCCTGAACATTATGAGGAGCAGTTTAATTTGCCCACAGCCACGCTCAACCTTCCGAGCATCCAACACCTCCCTGAATGGGATATAGACACAGGTCCTCCGTCACTAACTGAGGTTACTAAAGCTGTCACCAATCTGAAACTAGGCAAAGCAGCGGGACCTGATGGAATGACGCCAGAGGTATTTAAGTACGGTGGAGACAGCTTACTGTCTGCATTAACTGAGGTACTAGGCAGCGTCTGGGAATCAGAAGAAGTCCCATCGGGTTGGTGTAAGTCACTGATTATCCCCATATACAAGAAGGGAGACAAGTCTTCCTGTGATAATCACAGAGGGATTAGCTTGACTAATATAGTATCTAAAGTCTTAGGCTCAATAATCATGCGTAGACTGAGTGGTGCTCGGGAAGCACAAACACGAGAGAGCCAGGCAGGCTTTAGACCAGGAAGAGGGTGTATTGATCATATCTTCACCCTCCGACAGATTCTAGAACATAGGCATTCCTACCGGCGTCCAACAGTCATTATATTTCTTGACCTAAAGGCAGCATTCGACTCTGTCGATCGGGAAGTTCTCTGGAGATGCTTGGCTGTAAAGGGAATTCCGAGAAAATATATTGCACTGATTAAGGCACTCTATTCGTACTCATACAGCCAGGTGAGGGCTTACGGCGAGCTGTCATCTGAACTGATGACGACCAGTGGTGTCCGTCAAGGATGCCCATTATCTCCTTTTCTATTCAACTTCATCATAGATGTGTTAATGGACTTAACCCTAGGTGACTTCAGCGACTCAGGAATTGACTTGCTACCAGGGAATAATCTCGTTGACTTGGAATATGCAGACGATATAGTCCTTCTAGGCGAAGACGCTGACGAAATGCAGAGTCTTCTAAACACCTTGAGCCGCAATCTACGAATGTTTGGCATGCGATTCGCTCCCGCCAAATGCAAGATGATGTTACAGGACTGGACTACATCGACGCCTAGTTTAAAAATAGGAAGTGAAGTGGTAGAGCACGTTGACCGCTTCACTTATTTGGGAAGTACCATCAGCCCCAACGGGCTGATCTCTGACGAAATCTCAGCACGAATACAAGGGGCTCGTTTCGCATTTGTTAGTTTACGCCGACTCTGGCGTAGACGAGATGTTCGACTATCGACCAAAGGGCGGGTGTACTGCTCATCAGTCCGCTCCGTCCTCCTTTATGGTTGTGAGACCTGGCCACTGAGAGTGGAAGACATGAAAAGACTAGCTGTCTTTGATCATAGGTGCCTGCGTTCTATTTCCCGTGTAAAGTGGCATAATAAGGTGAGCAACATGGAGGTTAGGCGTAGAGTTCTAGGTAAACAGGGGAAATCAATCGACGAAGTCGTGAAGCTACATCGACTGAGATGGTTAGGACATGTGTTACGTATGCCAAGCCATCGCCTCCCTCGACGAGCAATGTTAGCGGATATAGGGTCAGGCTGGAAAAAAGCTAGCGGCGGTCAAACAAAAACTTGGCATCAGTCAATGAAATCCACAACAGTTGGTCTAAGCCACGTAGGAAGGTGTAGACTTCCAGGCTGGGGTCCTCGGGACGGTAAAAATCTATGGTTGGAAACAATTGGTGACATGGCTCAAAATCGTTCTCAGTGGCGCAGATGCATCCACTCCCTGTGACTTATGATCTCCAATGAAACTGTTTTGTATTTCTTTATTACTCCTTTGTCTCACACCTCTGCTCACTGTTTCTATTATGCTTTTCTTGTACTTTCTTCTCTTGCTTCGCGTGCTACACGGAATGTGGCGACTTGAACTTCCGCACATTTGTGCAAAGTTCTATGTCGAAAACAGACAGACAGACAAGTCCTGAGAATAATTTCGCAAGGAATTTCTTTTCTGGTTTCGTACACGTGTCTCGTCTTCCCATGTTTCTAGTTTATGGATAGGGCATAAGGTGGCGGAATGCGTTCACTGCAAGGCTGAAATAGTGTCACACCTTTATTGTAACATAGAATTGTTCCCGTCTGAATAGAAGGTTGGTGGATCTATGGTGTGTATTTTTCTCCCTACTTGTTCACTTCACTCGTGATAAAGCTATTTCCGGTTTTTTGTTTGTATGGGAGCATACTTGTCTTTTCTGTTAATGTCAGTTTTATATCCTCATGGCCTTATGTTATTCTCCAGTTTGTTTCTTTGGGCGGCCATACCTCTGTCGCAGTCTAGGGTTTGTGTTTTTGCTTACCGTTACAATTTCCTAATCGGCGAAGTTCAACAATAGCGTCAGGATTGTGAACGCTTCAATGACCTTAAACACATGCTAGTCGTTAGCTAACGGCATCTGTCATTATCATAGCTGAAATATCAGCGCTATTCACCAACTTGGGAGCAAATTTCACCCAGATCACGTTTTTAAGTACTGTTTGGACAATGTGTTACTAGCTCGTTAGGGTTAGGATTAGGATTAAGGTAAGTATTGGGGTAACGGTTAGGATCAGGGTTATAATTAGCATTAGGGTTAGAATTACGGTTTGGATAGGGGTTATGATTAGGATTAGTGTTAGGGTCCGGATTAAGCTTATGGTTACGATTAGGGTTAGATTTATAGTTGCTGTCATTTATTTTAATTTGTTTTATTACCCACGTTTTCCTGGCAAGTAGTCGTTTATTCTCTTTCTGGAAACCGTAATAATTCAACCGAGGGCTTTTCGGGAAGACTGCAAGCAGGGTGAGAGAGATAAACTATTCACAAAAACATGGGCATCTTTAGTCATCTCGGTGAATACGTGTACAGAAACTAGTCTAACTTAGCAACTGATACTCCTCGTTACAACTAGGACGTATTTTTAAATCATGTCATAGAACGATAACCTGTTTAATGCGTTTTCAAGCATTTTTCTGTCAATATGCATGATTTTTGAGCAAACATTCCTCATTTTTATGATTGGTCAGCTGAAGGTCACTCGTGTTTTCGCACTCCTGGGACGCTATTGTTGAACTTCCTTTCCAGTCAGTCTAAGGAGTTACCCTCAAGTAAATCACACGTTTCCTCATATGACAACTGGACACTGATCTAGACAAATCTAGTGACTAGACTCACTGAATAGGGATTCATGGAAATACAGTTTTTTTTTGTTCAGCGAAGAAATTTCTTTTCAACTACTTCATTTTCAAGCTGTACAGTCGTATTTATATTACAGAAAAAGTTATTGAGTGGCACTTTGTAATTGCTCAGTCAATATGCATGTATAAGTGATAAGAATAACGATAATTAGAATGTTATAAGGGCTAGAGTTAACTTCGCCAGTCGCATCATTCAGTTATGTAAAAATTTTAAGGACAAAAGTAACGATGGTCAAATTACCGATAACTGCGGTTGCTCCTATCGAGCTAAACACCAAGGTGTTCGAACTCATTCCCTCATTGGAATCTGCCTTTTATTCAGATGGTAGTTGTGCAGAGACTACTGGTTTCTCTTTTTATTTCTCCTACAAATGTTTGAGACTCTGCATCTGCATTTTCACTGGTTGACAGTCTTGTTCTGTTTTGCTATGGATTCCTTCGTTTGTGTCAAGAAACGATCTATGGAAAGTCGTTTTATCAAATTGCTGAATGTATTTTCTCGCCCTTCTTTGCTTCTCGCTGACCCGCCTAGTAAATTCTGACGTTGTCTTTGAATAGTAACAATGTCATATTGTGAGTCTAGTAGTAAGCCGTGAAACTTGTTGTTTTCGTGGAGGATATCTTGGTGTATTAGTATTCAAACTGCAGTGATACAACTTACCGTATTTTGTCGCATAAATTTTGATTGTCATCACTTTCATTGCGAATTTCTGTGATACTGGCTAGTTCACTGTATTCCTAATTGATGAATTTTCAGGAGGATTAAGAGAGATAAAGAGTATAATTTTGGTTTATTTTTGAAGTGTGGTACACTCTAATGTCCGTCTGGATTTTTGACTAGTCTCGTGACATTTAATGACAGGAGTGTACGTGTATGTTTTTGATAGTGATTATGTGTCGTTCTCATGAAGTTAAAGTATCTCGTGAAAGTTATTGTGAAGTGGTGTTTCTGGCGAAATGTTTTTTGATAACCCTTATGTCCTATTTGTATATCTGTTTTCACTATTTGATAACTGTTTCTTGGTTAAATTTCATGTTCGTTGTAACAGGGAATTAAGCATAAATTGTGATATTTCGGGTTATGATTTACTTCATATGTAAGACCGAATGTTTTCAGGCTTAAGAGTGTCAGTCGAACGACTGGATAAAACTAAATTAGGCTGTAATATTTTGCCACATTATGGGTTGTTTACATCGTGGTTTTGCTGTCGTATTTAGCGTAACTTCTTCACGGAGGAGATTAGTTCGAGTCGTTTAGATGAAGAACATGCATCGATGCAGTTGCGTTTACATTGTTTACATGGTTACAGATCGCATTTCTTGGTCTGAGTGTGGCATTCAACTCCGTTGATCGAGGGTTTCCACGGCAATGTTTGGGTGCAGAGTACTGAGTAAGTACGTTTCACTGACCAATACACTAAAAGTCCTCAATCATCCGTGTAAAAGCTAGTGGAGCGTTGTCATCTGAAGTGATGACAACCAGTGTTGTTCGCCTGGAGTGTGTCCATTTTTTAAAATTTCATCATAGATGTACTAATGGAATTGACCTTAATCGACACTGTTGACTTAGGGATTGACTCGTTACGAGGGAATATCTTGTTAGCCTACAGCATACGAATGGTATTGTCCTCCTAGGTGAAGATGCTGACAATTTGCAAAGTCTTCTGAACACCCTGAGCAGAAATCTTCGGATGTATGGGATGGGATTTTCTACTTTCCATTGTGAGATGATGCTACAGGACTCGAATCCACCGACTCTTTCCCTGAGAAGATAAAATGAAATAGTTGGATGCGTTTGATCACTTTGCTTGTTTGGGAAGTTTCTGACGAAATCTCAGTACGTATACAAGAAGTTTATGTAGCATTTTCCAACTTACGTCATCTCTGGTGTAGATTTGAAAGCCGGCTATCGATCAAAGGACGTGTGTGCTGCCCAGCAGTTCGCTCTATCCTCTTTTATTGCTATGAGAAATGGTCATTGGAAGTGGAAGATATGATATGACTAGCTGTCTTTGTCCACAGATTTTTGCGTTCTACCTCGCGTATTAAGTGGTACAGCGTGGTGAATAATATTGGGACCAGGCGTAGTGTTAAATGAAGAGGCTAAGTCAATCTATGAGCTTGTGAAGTTACATGGATTGAGTTGGCTAAGACATGTGTTACACATGGCGAACCATCGTTTTCTCTCGACAAGAAATCTTGACCGACATTGGATTATGTTGGAAAGGGCCTGGAGATTGTCAAACTAAAACCTCTGATCAGTCCGTAAAGTATCTGACAGTTGGTTTGAACCGTGTACTGAGGTGTAAGCTTCCTGGTTGGGGTTCTCGCGGAGCTAAGAACTAATGGTTGGAGACTTGGTGATATGGCTCAAAATCGTTCTCAATGACTGGTGCAGATTCATTCACTCTCTGTGATCCTCCATGTCTACTGAATCGTCATGTTTTTCCATGTTCTTATCCTCCTGCCTCCCATTTATGCTTATCAAGGAATATACACATTTGATCATAAGGAATAAAAAGACGGTTGCAGCGAAGAAAATTCTCTTTTCGACGAAATTATCAACTAGGCTGTGCATTCGTGTATATATAATAAATGGGTAGGAAATTTCCAGAATAATTTCTGGTCAATGGTCAGATTAGTAAAATTACAAGTAGGAATTAAAATGACATAATAAACAGCGGAGGGGGCGGATAAAACTCAAACAAAGTAGCATCATAATTGCTGAGAAGATTGACATATTGTGCAATTAGGGGTTAGGAATGTAGAAATAACAAAAATAAACAGGATGTTTGGATAAAAAATCTAGTGGGATCATAATTAATGTGACGAATAATTGTTTATGCAATCATGGATTAAATATGTAGAAATAAAATGACAAAATAGACAGGGAGTTCTGGTATGAAAATATGGTAGTGTAAATCGGGATTGAGAAAAACTTGAAATAACATGAATAAACAGGAAGTTTGAATAAGAAAGGCAATGGGATAGTCGCTATTAAAAGAAAGACCTATTTATGATGGCCATAGCAGGGACAAGGGTTGAACGTATTTCTTTTGAATACATAGCGTGGTTTTGAGCTTTTGAATGGCTGGTGCCTCGGACATGCCTAGATATCTTAATTTTACTCCCGTTTTGCTTATAATAATAGTATTAATTTATTAATCCATTCTCTTATTTAAATTTGTGTGCTGCATGGAGTATAGCTACTTCAACTGCTGCACTTCTTTGCCAAGTTCTGTTTTGAAATTCCGTCAGTCAGGATGTAGAGTAGACAAATGGAAAAGATTATAAATTTTCTGTCAACTTGATCCTATGAAATTCAGCTCATTATCTGCATTGTAGTTCTGATTTTCTTTATACGTAGTTTTCTTCACTTACGTGATAATTTCACTTTTCAGCTTGTGCTTATATCTTCGTTTATTTTTCCATATTAGTTTGTTTATTAAATGTATCACACACACAGTCAGTGAAACAGTATTAGTATTTACTGGGTGACAAAGTTGCGAACACAATTTATTCATTGTTCATAATCATTTCATCAATTATACTCACACACGAATTCGATACTTGAGTTTTATAGTTTTCTTTGTTCTCTCCTATTTGTCGTCGTCGGCGTGGTAGTAGAATTTTCCGGATGTCAGGTGGACAGGTGTTGAATCATTTCTACTACACGTGTCCACTCTCAGTTGATTAGATAAATAAAGCTTCCGCTGTCATCAATATCTCCCTCCACCCTGTTAAATTAGATTGTTAAACTGTCATCTTATCCCATCCCATCCTATTGTATGGTTGTGTGTAATCGCATGTAGTGAGTGTTCTGAGCATGGTGGGTGTATCATCGACATATCTCCACCACACTTTTTAGGTAGGGCTGAACGTTTCAATCGCTTTTTTCCCACCCATCCATGGAAAAAAAAATATATATATATGTATTTATATATGGTCTTCCGATCATCCCATCCTGTCAGGGAAAACAGGATTGTAATAAAAATAAAATTGATAATATTAGTAATGGTAATCATAATAATAATAGTGATGACACGCATATCAAACATGCACAAGACAACACCAAGAATAAGGAATCTAAATCATCACAGTAGTAATTCCATACAAGGAAGGTACGTTGGAAACCTCACAGTGGAGAATTCTTAACAAGGTAGGATTAAAAGTGGCTGACATTCAAACCACCCACAAACTCAACTAGAAACAAGCTTTGTCGGTTAAATGAACAATCCTGTGGAGCCAATTAAACGAAACAATTTAGTTTATCTAATACTCTTCTGGAATTATTGTCAGGTCAAATACATAGGTCGACTAGTAGAACATGGTCAGTGAGTCAGACTAGCCGAACATAAACACCTAGCAGCAAAATCTTGATTAGCTGACCCGAATAAGATAAGAAATCTAGAGAATAGTTCACCCATAGCACTCACTACATGCAGTTACACACAACCATACAATAGGATGGGATGGGATAAGATGACAGTTTCGAAATTTAATCTAATATAACGTGGTGGAGGGAGAGACTGATAACAGAAGCTTTATTTATCGAATCAACTGAAGAGAATACATGTAATAGGAATGATTCAACACCTGTCCACCTGACATCCGGAAAATTCTACTACCACGCCGACGACGACAAATAGGAGAGAACAAAGAAAACTATAAAACTCAAGTATCGAATTCGTGTGTGAGTATAATTGATGAAATGATTATGAACAATGAATAAATTGTGTTCGAAACTTTGTCATCCAGGAAATAATAATACTGTTTCACTGACTGTGTGTGGAATTACTTACTACCATCGTGCCCAAGTTTTGCACATGACTTGATTTATTTTTGTATTCCATTTCAGATTTTAGATGATCTCTCCGTCTATCAGCCTTCCCTGAGTAATGGCGGATTATTGGAAAAGTAATCCTAAAAAATATTGTGATTTATGTAAATGTTGGATTGCTGACAATAAAATCGTAAGTTATTATTCAATAATAATAATAACAGTAGAGCATTCAAAATCATGAGAATGGTATGCGTCATAAAGCCAGTGTAGCAAAGAAAGTCAATGAATTAACTCGTAGCAATAATGATGCTGAAGTGGAAAAGCGAAAATTAGAAGCATGCCTACAACAAATCAATGATGTATTTAGCGTGTTTTAATTTCTTCTTATAACTCTTTTCATTTTATTTTTCTTCCTGATTATTAGAGTGCTCATCTAAGCATGATGAAAGATTTAGAAAGAGATCCATCATTGGCAAAACAATACGGGATTGAATTAGCTAGTAATTAATTTCTATATTTATACTTATTTATAAAACTTCAAAAAAATCAGAAGAAATCAAGGCTAATCATACTGAAGAAAGTTTAAGTAAAACAGAGAAATCACTGCCTGCTGTTAAATCTCGGCTTGATCCACCAAAACCGGAGAATATATGGCGAGAATCAATCACACCAGATGGGAAACATTATTACTGGAATATAGCCACCCGTATGACACAATGGACACGACCGGATGGTATTATAGAACCAGACAATCGAACAGTGAAACAAGAAAAGGATAGATTAAAAGATTTTGTCTTTAATCGTCTTGTGGAGTTAAGTGAATCTGGATCCAAGGGAGCCAATGAAGCAGTACTACAGGCATTCAATGCTTCTGTAGACGAGGATATATCAATTCCTACTGTAGTAGAAAAGCCTACAGTTGACAGACATCATAATGATGAAAGGCCTAGTACACCAGAACCGAAGAAGCCTATTGAATTTCATGGTCCACGGATTGATTTGCTCGGCCCATGGGTTGCTTGTGAGGATGTGTAAGTGATGTATGGCTTTTTTTTCATCGGTTCTAAACAGTGGATTAAAGTTTCTGTAACAGTGTTTATTTTACAGGATGGGGTTGCTAGCCTCATGCCCAACCTTTTCTCTATTACCTGCATTATTTCTGGCTTAGCGAGGTAAAGGAGTGCGTCCGTCGGCCGGGAATTGAACCCCGAACCATGTGCATGGTCGGCGAGCGTTCTAACCGCTATTCCACCGACACACATTAACAACATTAATCTTGTTCAAATAACACGGAATCAATAATATTAATAGATTACAGCTTAATCGCATCAACATAAAATAAGCAGAATGTCAGAAAGGCAGATTAGGAAAGATAATATTACAAATTCATGAATTTATAGTCTCTGCTGAAGGCCGGCCAGGGCAGTAGTAGTGGCTGGCTTAACTTGCTTCTTTTACGTACAGAGCACTGGTTGTTTGAGGCGAATCGCGATAGCCTCTGCTGTTTGGAGTATGCGGTGCTTCGATGATGATTTTGTCAATTTATTAGGTACCCGGTAGATTATAGAAAAGGATTCTTCAACGTTGGCTGGCTGGCTGGCTTTGTGGCCAGTTTGCACCAAATGGTCCAATATCGAACTGTTAATGGTTTTGACTACACCTTCATTTAACCACACTGGTAGATATTTTTGAGCGAGCACGAAAAATCAAGTTCCTAGAGCAACGATCGATATAACTCGCTCCACCACAAGCGCAGTTGAATTGGTAGATACGATTAGAAGTGGCTAGCTAGTCTAGGTACTTCATCTTTCAGTCGAGGAATCACCATCGGTCGTGTAGAGAATAATATGTGTAGTTTGCCAGCATTAAAAGTCATTTGAACTGATTTCTTAATTTCGTCGTAATTATCTCACTTGGTATATCGCCCTTGAATTGCAGTCGTATATAAAGAGGCTTCTTGTTTACATATAGTGAGTAGTCCACTTCCGCTTTCTTTGTCATGTATTTCTTAATAAACCTGTCGGGATAGCTATTTCCGATCAAAGTATCATAAACAACGCTAAATTCATCTTCAATTACTTCTACTGAGCATATTGCTCTAACTTTGTGGATGAGGGTCTTTACTAAATTTATTTTGTGCTTGAGAGGAACGAGTCTGTGAAAATGAGTCTGTCTGTCTGGATTCAACATAGAACTTGGCACCGAAGTGCACCAGTTCCAGTTGCCACGTTCCAAATAGCACACAGAGGTAGACAAGAAGATGAGTGAAGTGAATCAATAGAGTTTGACAGGTATAAGAGTGAAAGAGAATGGGTAATGGTGGAAAGGAATATGAAAGATTACAGAGACTGAATACATCTGCGCTGGCCATTGACAACGATTTTGAGCCATGTCACCTATTGTCTCCAGCCATTGATTCCTAGAGTTAGTCCCGAGGGCCCCAACCCGGGAGTCTGCATCTCCCTACCTGACTCAGTTTAACTGTCAAGGATTTCATGGATTGATGAGGCCATGTTTTTGTTTGGCCACCACTGGCTCTTTTCCAACCTGCACCTATATCAGCTAGCAAAGCCCGTCGGGGGAGGCGGTGGTTAGGCATGCGCAGCACGTGACCTAGCCATCTTAGTCTATGTATATGTGTATATATTGCCCTGTTCATGCGCTCTTCCTGTGCAAATTTCTCTTTATACTACCATCTTGTTTTCTTGTAAGTAGGACATCCAAGAAGACAGTTAATTCTATTTTGGGATTCCTCGTCTCATGTGAATTTCATAGCCAAATGTACTTCATTGAATTGAGTGATTATTGTACTCCTATCAGAACCATTATCACAAAGAATAAAGGTATCATCCATATATCGGCAATAAAATGAGAACTTTCTGATCAGGTTGTTCAGAGGTCCATTTTCTAGCTTACTTAGAAAGAAATCAGCCAAAATGGGACCTAATGTAGATCAATAATGTAGGCATTCATCAAATCCCATACCTTAGTCTGAGAGTTTGGGCCTCGTCCAACTGCCAGTTTTTGGGTGGTCAGGTAGCACCATCACTCCTCACACAGTAGGTATGGTTCATTGTCAGGAGTGTATGTGTGTGTGCGCTTGTGCCTGTGCGCAAGTAGTTACTGGGTAACAGTTCATTCATCTCGCTGTAGCATTAATAAATCTTTTAAACTGACTGGAGTAATAGACTTGACACTTTATAATATTGGTTACCCTGCCAAAGATCATGAATTAAGCAGATTGTATTGGTGGATATACAACAACTTTTTTTTAAAGTTTTTATGTTACAATATACTGAACGAATTTATTCTGCATTTCTACATAGTCGGTCTTACCTTAAATTCCTCTAAATGTTAAACAGTCAATTTCACCTTTAGGCATAAATCTGACCTAAACAAACTGGTGGTTAGCTATCACACGAGGTGTGCAACATAGATGGCACTTAAATAGAGACTAGGTTGGAAATTAAATATCTAGGCGTCATTCTATCTGCTGATCTTTCCTGGTCGTCTCATATCTTGATGATTTCTAAGAAAATATTCCGTCTAACCTTCTACATCAAGAAGTTAAGACATTCTGGTATAACCCAACCCAACCCTTACTCCTACGATTCGTTAACTCTTGCATCCTGCCTATTATTCTCTATTGTCACCCCTTAGTTTTCCCAGGGCTGGCTACTGAAGAAAGACTATACCTTACTACGCAGGATGTTAAAGGTTGTCAGCAGGGTAAGCCACAGGGTGCCACTTAACCAGCTTGTTAATATTCTGGTCGACAGGCACTGGGACTCATGTGAAAAATGGGCTAAATCTTCTCTATCTAACTAGTTTTATTTCTTGTTAATGTAAAAACTGGATACAATACTGTGTTGAAATGCTGAGAATTCCATTCTGTATCACAAGAACTGTGTTGGAATAAAGCAAATTATTATTATTATTATAGTTTGTGATGGGTCATTTCATCTAACCTCGTTAAAATATATTTCTTTTTCAAAATCATTCATTATGTTCATTAAGTTAGATCATGGACTATTGTCAGTTAGAGAACCACTGAAAAAAAACAGGGAGCATTGTACAGCTACTTCGTCCTAGTTTGGGACTCTTCATCAGTACGCACCCACCGGTGTTCAGTAGTTCTCTAAGTGACACCAGTCTGTGATCTAACTTGACACAAATCAAGTCCTTACAGACCAACTGCTTTTTTTTATTTCTTTACGTTCCCAGCAGTGGAACATAGTGCTCCAAGCTACAAGCTCTTGAAGTTTCTGTAGCAGTGGTGATTGTTTTTTTTTTTACAAACTGGGGTTTCTAGCCTCATGATCAACCTTCCCTCTTTACCAGTCTTAATACTGGCTTAGCAAGGTAAAGGAGTGCATCGGTGGCCGGAGACCGAACCCCCCGGACCACTTACGTGGTCGGCGAGCACTCTACCACTGTGTCACCGAGGCACAAATCAACTCGTGAAAAACGCTTATTATGTTTAGAAAATGAAATGGCTGTATGTCAGTAATCTCTCATGTGTAGCATAACCTTCCTGTCCTGTACTTATAAAATCAAGAAGTATGTGATTGTTACACACACACAGCTCATTAATTGTGCAGCTCTTCTTAATCGTTATTAGTTTTCGTGTTTATTCATTTTACCCGCCTGCTCTAAGATGGAGATTCCTGGAATATTTCTCCCACCCCCCCGTTGCCCAATACCCTCTCATACTGAGGTTTGTAAAAACCATTGTAATCTCACTTCAGTGTGTAGACTGGAGGTTATTAAAGTTTATTTAAACCTTCTGTGGGATAGAATCATTACCATAACCTAAAACTTTGACTGTTTTAAGTTATAAATAAACAATCAAACTCGTATTAATATTTGTGTAAAACTTGAGTACTGTGGTAGTTAATAATTCCTGTCTGTCTGTCTAGATTCAACATAGAACTTGGCACCGAAGTGCACCAGTTCCAGTTGCCACGTTCCAAAATAGCACACAGAGGTAGACAAGAAGATAAGTGGAGAGAATCAATACAGTCTGACAAGTATAAGAGTGAAACAGAATGGGTAATTGTAGAAAGGAATATGAAAGATTACAGAGACTGAATACATCTGCGCTGGCCATTGACAACGATTTTGAGCCATGTCACCTATTGTCTCCAGCCATTGATTCCTAGAGTCAGTCCCGAGGGCCCCAACCCGGGAGTCTGCATCTTTCTACCTGACTGACTCAGTTTAACTGTCCAGGATTTCATGGATTGATGAGGCCATGTTTTTGTTTGGCCACCACTGGCTCTTTTCCAACCTGCAACTATATCAGCTAGTAGTACCCGTCAGGGGAGGCGCAGCACGTGACCTAGCCATCTCAGTCTATGTGACTTTATAGCTTCGTCGATTGATTTTCCCTCTTTGCCCAACACTCTACGCCTAACGTCAACATTACTTACCTTATTAAACCACTTAACGTGAGACAGAGATCGCAGACATCTATGATCGAAAGCAGTCAACCTTTTCAGGTCTTCAACTCGTATTGGCCATGTTTCAGAGCCATAGAGAAGGACGGAGCGAACTGCTGAGCAGTACACACGTCCCTTGGTTGATAGCCGGATGTCACGCCTACGCCAGAGATGGTGGAAGTCAGCGAAAGCAGCTCGAGCTTTTTGGATCCGTGCTGAGATTTCGTCGCCAATCAGTCCGTTGGTGCTGATACAACTTCCCAAATAGGTGAAGTGGTCAACATGTTCTATCACTACACTCCCTATCACTAAGTTAGGGGTTGACGTAGTCCAGTCCTGTAGCAGCATCTTACATTTTGCAGGGGGGAATCGCATGCCAAACATATGAAGATTGCTGCTCAAGGTGTTCAGAAGACTCTGCATTTTGTCAGCATCCTCCCCTAACAGGACTATGTCATCTGCATATTCTAAGTCCATAAGACTATTCCCTGGTGACAAGTCGATTCCTAAGTCGTTACGTTCAGTTAAGGATACTTCCATCAGCATATCTATAATGAAGTTAAACAGAAATGGGGAAATTGGACATCCCT